GGGGAACTCTGGGAGTTGAAGTCCACACATCTTCAAGTTGCCAAGGTTGAGAAACACTGCTATACACATTTGCTTTCTACAGCATATAGGCAGTGAAGAAAAAAAAGACACATACACATTTATTTGGCTCCTAGTGATTTAATCATCATGTTACATGATGCAGAAGAGTGATATATTTTTATGGTTCACTTTTTATTTTCCTGCACGCATTCCTCAGGGCCACCTGATCTCTCCTGTAATCAATGGGGCACCCTTCTCTTTTGGAGCCTACCCATCATTGACAAGAAATCCTTCCTTTTCTCAAAGAGAGTGAGTTACCTGAGACTATTGAATTTGGGTCAAGGAAAAGCACTCTGTGTATGCTTAGGGCATTCTCTTTTAGTGCTCCAGAGACGGGACTTTAGCATTCCAGCAAGCAGCACAGATTCAGCCCAATTTAAAAAGTCAATATTCCCTCTCTGCTAGACGCCTCCTACCATTCATACGTAAGAGACCGGATTTTCTACACTTTTAACCCCTTCGCTCCATCTGCCCACCCCTCCTCTAAAACTGGACTGGGGAACCCAAAGTTCTGCCTCATTCTCTGGATCCGGGCCGGACTGTCCTTTCCGCTTCCCCACCCCATCCCCGAGTTGTCCGGGGTGCCCGCTCTTGGGAACTCACCTCTGCTTGAGGGCGGCCAAGTCCTCGGCCAAGTTGTCCCTCTCGACTTGCAAGCGGTCGCGGTCCTTGCCCAGCGCGTCTACCTGCCGGCGCAGCTCGCGCAGCTCGTCCTGGAAGAGGTCCGAGGCGCGGGTGGGCTCCTTGGAGCGGGACTGGCCCAGCTCGGCCAGCAGGGCGGCGTTTTGGGTCTCCAGGTAGCGCACTTTCTCGATGAAGCTGGCGAAGCGGTCGTTGAGTTCCTGCAGCTCCTGCTTCTCATTGCTCCGCGTGGCCAGAAACTCCTGGTTCAGGGCATCGGCCACCGAGAAGTCCAGCTTCTCGGCGCTGTAGGCGTAGCGCGGCGCCGCCGCCACCACCACCGGCGCGCTGGTGCGCAAGAACATGGCGCTGCCCCCGCCGCTCCCGCGGTAGGAGCGCAAGGGCGCTCCGGAGGAAGGCATGCTCAGCAGCCGCGTGGCGGAAGAGGCCGAGGCCATGGATGTGGAGTATGGCCTCGGCGACAGCATCGGCGACGGCCCAAAGGTGCGACGGTAGGAGGTGGCGCGGATGCTGCTGGAGTGGCTCATGGCTGCTGAGGCGCACCAGAGGGCTGCGTTGCGCTGGGCTGGGCTGGGCTGGGCTGCGCTGGGCTCAGGAGCAGGTCCGAGAAGTGTTTGGCGGGGAGCAAAAGGCGCTGCGTCCGGCGATGCTGCTTTATAAGCGATCTGTCGAGGACGGGGGGAGCGGCAAGCTCCTCCCCGCTCCTCCTCTCCCTCGCATGCAGCCCAGAACTCCGCACTGCAGCCCCTCGGCTGGGGAAGGGAGCCACCCAGCACCGCGCCCTGCAAAGGCTGCTCGCTCCAGCGGGAGGCCGCTCATCCGAGTGGCCTGCCCTGCCCTGCCCTGCCCTGCCTCCCACCGAGGCGACCCCGGCCCTCCATGTGGCGGGACGGCTTCTGGGGCGCGGTGCCGCCTTGTCCAAGGCGCCCTATACTAAAGTCCAGGACGGCGCTTACTTCTGAGTAAGCGTCCGCTCGGTTGCCTCTTAACACCCCCGACTCGAGGGACGGGATGTCCTCTTTTCTGGAAAAGGGAAGGGGGAGAGTTATGCAATTATTGGGCGCAGGGGGGTCTTTCCCCATCCCCGAAGGGCATCTGACATCTCTTAAAAACGGAGGTAGCGGCAAGACAGGTTCATCCACTGAATGACACCTACGTCTGGGGCAGAAGAGCAACGCAGAAATAAGATCGCATTAATGCTAACGTACCTGCACTTTAGCGGCCGGGGTGGGTGGGCGGGAGGCAGTTTCTCGTGCATCCCTGAACTGGGGGGTTACTTTAAAAAGAAAAGGCTTAGGTCATTAATCCCAGGTAATTTGTTAATCACCATTCACATCATTCATAGTAATTCTGCAGTAGAAGTTGTTTCCTTGTTGTTATGGGAATGTTCTGTTCTGGAGTGGGAAACAGTTTATTACTTTCCAGAAAAGGTAGAGTGGAGAATGAAAGGCTTGGCATGACCTAATCCTTGAGAAAGGAAAGACCCCAGGAGTCCTATCTTTCAGAATTGGTTCTATGCTGATTTATCTGTTTCACACATTTTTTTCCTGTCTGCTTGCCATCAAATAGTTTCACAGCAGCTATTTGATGGCACAAAAAACAGATTCACACTCAGTGAGGAGAGGTTCGAGAGAGAAGCACTGTCACCACCAGGTGTTCCCTCACTTTGAGAAAGCTGTTTGCACATTGGTACAAACCCTGGACATGCACTCTGTGCACCCAAAAGATGCAAGTCATGGGCAATGCAAGCCAACTGAACTTCTACAGTACACACCCACCTACCGGGCCCACAACTTACTGGCCTATGTATCAGGTCTAAAAGCTGATGGGACACTCTTCTCCACCTGGTGGCTGAGGAGAGAAATTGCAAAAATGGAGATGGTGAAAAGCAGTGTTTCTCAACCTTGGCAGCTTTCAGAGCTGAAGTCCACACCTCTGAAAGCTGCCAAAGCTGAGAAACGCTGGTTAAAAGGATGGGGATCTTGGCACATTGTCCAGACATAGATTTTTTTTCCTGTCTCTTTTTCATATATGTGTGTGTACAGATAAATAGATACGCGTGGATAGACACACCCACGCAAATGATTGCTATATATACTATTATCCCACGCTTGTGGGAGGCTGGAGGGTTTGATCAGAATTACTGGGCACAGAAGTCTTTGAATATTTGTTCATGTTTCCTTCTTCCTGGACATCCACTGCTAACTTCTTGCCAGTGGCCTTTGATGCAGGAGGTTCTCCTGGACTCCTGGCTCCTGCTGGAACAGCAGATGAAAGCCACGGTCAAGAGAGCCTTTAGGCTGGGCCTTGTAGCCAAAGCCAGGACCCGACAGGACTCTACAGACCAGACAACTTCCAGATTTATTTATTTACTTATCAGTATGCCAGCTCATAATTCTAGGCAGCTTCCAGTAAATGCCACAAAGCTTCAATAAAATACTAATAAAACCAAACTATTAAAACCAATAAATACTCTTAAGAAATACTGCTAATAAAAACTGTTGCCACAATCAGGCAAATCTGAATGCTGAAGAAGGCCTGTTTTGCCATTGTGAGAAACACCATCAGGGCAGGGACAAATTGTATCTGACTTCAGGGGACAAGCTGTTCCAGAGAGGGGGTGCTACTGCTGAGAATATTGTTCTCCAAGTCCCAGCCCCCAGTCCCAGCTCCTGGGCAAGTACCTGGAGCATCTTCTCTATACTGGATTGTGTAGGGGGCAAGATGTTAATGAAGGTAACAAGAGTCCAAGCCATAACGGCTTTGTAAGTAATTGGCAGCACTTTGAAGTGGACCTGGAACCCTATCAGCAGACAATGCAGTTTCTGCAGAACAAGTGTTATTTTGCTAAACTAGCTAATGCTACAGCTTCTGAGTCATCTTCAAGGGCAGCCCCACATAAAGCAAAGTGTAGTAATCTAACAGAAAGATGTCTACAGTGCCTTTTGGTCCACGACAAGGTGCAGCTGATGGACCCATCCCAACGTTGGCCAAAGGCTCTCTTGACCATGGCTTTCATCTGCTGTTCCAGCAGGAGCCATGAGTCCAGGAGAACCTCCAGCTCCTTCAAGTGTCATCCCATCAAGTTATAGATGGAACATCCATGGTACCAGAAGGTTTCTGAACCACCAACAACTCCATCTTGCTGGGATGTGCCCTATCTGCTCCCTGGCAGCCTCCAGATCCCAGGTCAGGACCTGCCACATCTTCTCTTCAGCCTGGTGTTGAGGTGTAAAGGTGGGTATGATCAACATATTCATGATTCCTAATCCCAAAGAGGTGGACAAAAGATGTTAAATAAGATGAGAGAGAAGGTCAAACCCTGGAGCATCCCATATTGAAGTCCCAAGGACTTGACCTCTCCTTCCCCAACATCATCTACTCAGGAAGAAGTGGAGGCGCTGTAGAACAGTCCTTCAATTCCGAACTCTCATAGGCAGTCCAACTTTTAAAAGCACCAGTACCAATGCTGACTGTTTGCATGAGCATGCTGGGATCAACTATGGCCAGTGCTGTTCATCTTTGTATTTTTCTTTCTTTGTATTTTTGAAAACATTTGCTAGATCAGGAATGGCTGGGCAGAAAATATTTGCATTTGTTCAGTTTGGTTCTGTTACTGTAGTCTACAACAAAACATTCTTATTCCCAAATAAGTAAGTTTAGCATTAGGCCTTCAGAAAATTCCTTGTTATTGCATTTTAAATTCACTTCATGACAAAAATGAACTTAAATGGCCAAAGTTCACATGCTCAGAGGATCGCTTTTTATCAGTGGTGAAAAAAAAAGTGGCCATTTGCTTTAATACCTAAAAATGTTAAATAGCTCTAAAGGACCATGATGGTAGGACAAGGAGAGGATTGGAGAAAAATATTTGTCCTTTTTACACACAAGTAATTCATACAGCATTTAAACAGCATTAATTCAAAGATTAGAAATCCCTTGCAGCCTCCTCTTTTGGTATCAGCTGCTTTTTCCATCTAAAAATAATATCCTCCATACGCACACAAGAAAGTCTAGAAAATCTTGATCTGCCTTGATTTGCCTTCTTTCTCAGGAGCTTGCATACAACCATCAGCAGCAGATTCTGCCTAAATACTACAGAGAAGAGCAACAGAGAAGGGCCCTGAAGACTATCAGACTGAGGATGACATGGAACAGTGGGCCTCAGTGGTGATGCAAGGGGAAAACATGCGCCCTGTGACAATTCAGTTAAGGTTACAGCTTAAGTGATTTTTCATAGCTTGTACTGCAGCTTTCCCCAGTACATTCTCCAGATGTCTTAGGCTGTTTAAATTATAACCTGATCCTCCTCAGCAAATACTGCTTAGGATTCCAATCATCCCCAGCTATCACAGAGTTGTGGCTAGGATTTCTAGATTGAGCCAAATTTTATAGCATCACTCCACTCTTTTAACTTATGTTCCAATTCCTTTCTCTCCTTTCTGCCTTTCTGGTCACCCATCTTGTGGCATTCATATCTTCAGATATTCCTGCCAAAATATACTGTAAGGAAAGATGGTCCTTCCAAGTGGAAATTATTGTGCATAGCAAATTATACAAGTGTGCAGTTTTTTGCAAGGGTACCTTGTAGTGTTTTACCTGTTGGTTTTGTGCCTGATCTATCATGGGGAGGGAGAGGCCCTTTCATTGCTGCACGTCAGGCTCCTTTCCCTGTGATTTTAATCCTGGTTCTGGGGATCTTCAACTTGCCGTGCTTGGGACGGAGAGTCAAAGGTGGCTCAGGAGTTCATAGCCACCATGGCAGCCCTGGGTTGTCCTAAGTCATTCTGGGCCTGACTCATGTGGGTGGCTACATATTAGATCTGTTTTTTGTCTCAGAGCAGATGCAATATGATCTGGGGGTGGAAAACATTAACATTGTCCTTTGTCTCTCTGATTGCTCTGGAGTTGACTAGTGCCATTAGCCTCTGCAGGGAAGAAGGTACTGTTCAATCAGTCTGCTCCAGGTGCCTAATGGATCCACTTAGTTTTTTTACTGGAGGTCAGGAAGGGCGGTGCTGCTGAGTCCTTGGTTATCTCCTGAAACATGGAGATGGCCTTAGGATTATGCCTGAGTAGCTTCTCCCTGTTTAACAGTCCAGGGAAACTGCTTGGCTGACTGAAGAGCTGCCGAAGATGAAGCAACAGGAAACGTCTAGAGTAGCACTGGCAGAACATGAGGAGTGAAATTGACTGAATATGAGTAAGTGGTCAGATTCAAGCCTATACTGTGACAATAAGAGCAGAAAAAAATAAGTATCTTTAGGCATCTGTATTCTGGACCAGTTGTAACTTCTGGATGATCTTCATGGACAGCCTCAGGTAGAGCACATTGTGGTAATCTAACCAGGAAGTGACCAGTGTGCAAGTGACTGTGACCAAGACCTCCCAGTCCAGAAATGAGTACAACTGGAGCACAAGAATCTGTGCAAAGGCCCCCATCACATGGCTGCCACCTGCTCCTTCAGCAGGAACCACGAGTCAGGAGGACCCTCAAACTGTGCACTAACTTTGTCTGGGGGAGTGCTACCCTGTCAAGAGTCA